CCAGGAAGAATGGGGGGCGGGGATAAGCAGCAGTTCTTCTGGCACATCATGCATCTGCCCCCAATTCTGGGGCAGGTTCTCGTGACAGCACCAGATTGGTCACCACCCCTCCCGCCCATACACCGTGTGTAGCAACCAGCCAAGAACATATGTGCCCATTAGGATGGGGCAGCACCCAGTGTGTTTAGTCCTGGCCCAGCTGCAGCATTTTAGCTCCTCTGCCCCCAATAATGAGAGCTCCCCTGGTGTTTGCAGACATTGCAGAAGCCACCTCCCCTGCATGGCGCGTCCGTTTCACTGTCCCTGCATCCTCCTCGCTTTTTATCTCCTTCCTTGTGTTGCCTCTGGATTTGATCCACCCTAGACTGCGTGCTATGGGGCAGAGACTGGCTTAAGTACGTGTCTGCACAGCACCAAGCCATGCGCCGCGCTGATCGAGGCTGCTAGGGGGCCACAGCCTGCCCAGAAGTGACCGCAGTAAAGCTGATTTCTAGGCGAGCCTCAGACTAGCTCCCCAAAACGGCCCAAGATCACGCACAACTTTGTGCTTAGCCTGCTCCAATCCCCTCCTGTCCAGCCTGAGCATGTGCCGGGTCTGTTCGCTTCAGGAGCGGGACCCAGCACCAGGAAGGTTCATGAGTGATGAGAAAACGTCCCTTTTCTAGTCTGAGCCAGCTTCCTGTTTTTTAAGGTCATCAGGCCCTTCTTGTATCCTTTAAATGCCCTGCCTGTGACAAGGTGGCTGCCAAAGGGCCATTCCAGGGAGATTTGCAAAGGGAACTGGATGGAGGCCTGTGATGTAGTGGGCAGGCCATACTCTCTGGGCAACTACTGGTGGCTGTGTGTGGGCTGTGGTTGACCCCTACTGGCCGGTACCTGTAGCACTGCCCAGCAGGACGGCTGCCTTAAGTCAAAGACCCAACCTGTCCGACCGGTTGAGGGCAGGCAGGGAAGAAAGGAAGGGAGGTTTCGGGGGAAGGGGCAGCGCTGCCTTAAAGTCACGTAGGCAAAGATCCAACCTGTCCGACCGGTTGAGGGCAGGCAGGGAAGAAAGGAAGGGAGGTTTCGGGGGAAGGGGCAGTTGCTGGCTGGGGAACAGAAGGGAGTCAGCCTAAACAGAGGGCTGGAGGTCTAGGGGGGGTGATGGACCTCCCTAACCCAAGGGCTGTGTCTAGACTGGCAACTGCTTTTGCGGAAAAACTTGCCAGCTGTCTAAGACTGGGGAACAGACGGGAGTCAGCCTAAACAGAGGGCTGGAGGTCTAGGGGGGGTGATGGACCTCCCTAACCCAAGGGCTGTGTCTAGACTGGCAACTGCTTTTGCGGAAAAACTTGCCAGCTGTCTACACTGGCCGCTTGAATTTCCGCAAGAACACTGACGATCTCATGTAAGAAATCAGTGTTTCTTGCGGAAATACTATGCTGCTCCCGTTCGGGCAAAAGTCCT